GGGGGGGGGGCGACGATTGCCCTTGAAAGAGCAGACAAGGCAACCTCCTGTCGTAACAGTGGGGCCGGGGCCTCACCATGCCGGGGTTGGTGACGATCATGCCCTTGCACTCCTCCGCATATTTCTGCCACGCCAGCTCCTCCCACTGCAGCATGTCTGCAATCTCCTCCTCGGGGACCAGAGGCTTGCTGCTACGGAGCAGGTAGAGCAGCACCTGATGCATGGACAGCACCTCCTTCCCTCCATCTGAGATCATTTAGAAGCAGACAAGAGGAATACATTCATGAAGTATAAACACCACCACAAGGTATGCAGATCACCAGAGATTCAAAGTTCATTAAAAAAAAAAAGGGCAACAATCTTAGAGCTTGTGGAATTATGCATTGTTTTGTTTCGTAGGGTTCCACGCCCTCCCCTTCTTTCGCTGGCTCAAATTCAAGTCTGATGTTAGGAGAAAATCTTTGTTTTTATACAAGCATCTCACCCAGCCTCACCTCTGCCAACTCTCGAGTTTGTGAGCCAAGATTACATACTGTGAAAAATGTCCCCGTGCATCGCAATTGCATAGTTCAGGAAATGCACAGGTAAACAGAGGCTCTGATGCAAGGTCGGGAGTCATACAATACGTGAAGGAACATAATGTGACACGGGGATAGAATAGCAAAACGCTATGGCGAAAAAGAAATGAGCACAACCGCATGGGGAGAGGCAGCCAGGCTCAAGCATGCAATCTAGCGGGTCAAATGGAGTGAGTTTAATAGATGCTCATGCAAAATTGATTGACCTGCATTTACGAGTGTTCACATGGAAAGGCTCCCAACATGCAGGCGGCCTCTCCCTCCTGCAAATGCATTAAGGAAAAACAAATGTATACCCACAATGCAACTTTCTAACACAGCATCATCATGCTCTCACCGCAACTCCTCTCACGCTCTCTCCTTACAGATCAATTCAGAAACATTGCATTGGATGGGAGGGGGGGGGGCTTTGTAAAAAGAGGCAGATAAGTGTTTCTAGCGGACTAAATCAGGGGAGCTGGGAGAGAAATTGTTTTTTTGATGGAAAGGATGTAGGTTGCACGGCTGTCATAACAAACACTGTTGAGATATCATAGAGCACCAGCACCATCATGTGTATCGCAGATGAACACCATGCAGCTTCACGGCAGCGCCACACGGCAGGTCCAGACCACAGATCAGATATCATCAGCGGCACATGCAGGGGGGTGGGGAGGGGGGGGGGGAAGCATTACGACACATTTTTTTCTGAAGCACGTTTTGATTTGATCCGCCACTGGCCACCAGAGGGAGACAGACTTACAAAGCAAAGGCAAGCGGTACAGGTTTGTGGTAGGCTGCTGAGAGTCTCACCTGGTAGGAACCGGACAAAGCGGGGCATGAAATGGAACCGTTGGCATCCAGCAACCTCAAAGTCCGGACCTGGAAGAGAGAGCAGTCTTTTTTTATAGTTTAAAATAAATTTTAAAATCACCACATTGTTGCTAAAAAGCATCATAATTATAAACCAGAATTCAATGCACTTTCTTAATCTCAAATGTTAAGTGACTGTAAAATAAAAGGGTCCTTTACTTGAAATGTGATTATGGTTGATAGTCGAGGTCATATTGATGTTATTATTGGAGCTGCAACTTGTATGTGATTAGTTTTAATCAACAATTGAAGCAATCTGCACTTCTTTTGCTACTCTTTGCAAATGGAATAAGATAAGAGTACTTTATTGATCCCACTTTGGGAGATGTTTGTGTTGCAGCAGCATCAAAGACCTGGCAGTGTTAAGAATGTTAAGTATCTTGTCCAAGGACACTCTAACAAGCTAATGCTTCCTATTTTGTCCTGTTGCCTTTTAGTAAATGGTTTGGTGTTTGTCCGTACAGTGTTAACCAGACGTTTCTGAAATGTGTTAATCTTATTTCCTATATTGAAAATAGTTCACCAAAGTTGCAAGTGTGTCTTATTCCCGAGAGGAGTACCGTAATTTTCGGACTATAAGCCGCGCCTTTTTTCCCATTTTTCGACGCTGCGGCTTTTATAATGGTGCGACTAATCTATGGATTTTTACAGCTAACGGCCAACACCTTTAACTCTATGGGCTCTATGGCCGGTCCGCGCCCCCCACCTTTAAGCGGCGGGTTCCAGCAGGAAAAGCTGGAGGCCGGAAAAGAGTGAGACAGGTAGCGCGCAAAAGTAAAAGTGGAACCGAGAGTGGTACGAGAGACAGAACGAGAGCAAGACAGACAGACATTACGAGAGCGAGACAGTTTGTCCCCGTACCACTGGTTGAAAACCGCTGCTGTAGATCACTGCCGGTACGTGCGCTGGGAGCGCACCATTTAAGTTTGAAAGTTGAAAAGTTTGTGTGTCTGAAACGCTATGTGATACAGTACAGTTTACACAGCACAGCACATGTTCTGTAGCTACTATTGCACTGAATGGGTAAACTTGAATACGTTATGCAAAGTATGCAACTGTGTTGAATGTTAATAAATGGGAAGCTTCCCAAACAGCCATTCTTTCACCCGGACCAATCCCCTCTGTGCACGAAACCTTACATATTGAATTAAACATTAAAACACCTGCGGCTTTATAGTCGAGTGCGGTTTATAATACCGAAAATTACGGTAGGTCTTTTCTTGTTTTTTGTTTCCTTCACGTACCCTGAACCCTTTATCTTATCATGGGAATGAACCAAGCATGTGACCTCAATAACCCTCACACTCTTATTTCCTGGCAAACTTCAAATCCCTTTTTGGGAATTTTACCTGTCAGGTTCCAGTCCATACAGCTCGAGAACGTCTGGAACAGAGTAGGAGGCAAACAGCTCCTGCCTCCGGACACAGTAGTTCTGGGCCACAGGGGAAGGAGGCACTGTTATCGTGGGGCCCCGCAGTAAAGCAAAAAAAAAAAGCAAACTGCATAAAGAGTATAACGTAGAGATGACTGATAGTAAACGCTAATGACTATCCAGCTCATTAGAATCAAGAGTCCTGGAGACCACGCCTGCTCCGCATGCTGCCCGCTCTGCGTACGCAGGCGCAGAGAAGAAGAGAGAGGTTGTTCCCCTACACTGCTCTGCACCCAATATCCTACTTTTCACATCATTTTCCCTGCATGACAGACAAACCATCATGGTCAGAAGACCTGGCAGCAATTCCTCACAGAACTTGAGGCATATTTAACTTACACCTCTCTGCGAGCTCTAAACACGTGCCTGTGAAGCTGCAGGAGCTTCGAGCTCCGATGTCGTACGCCTGAAACGTTATAAAGGAACATCAGAAAAATCTAAAACTCTAGAAACATGAAACATCAGAAACCTCTAAGAAACATGAACATCTGCAAACATCTAGAAACATGAAACATCTAGAAACTCTAGAAACATGCTTCAAACCTGAAACTAATGAATTCGCAGGACTCTGTGGGTGTTTCTAGCAGCTGGTCATGGACTGAGAGCTGGGAACATGAGGCACCTGTTTCTGATCACACACACACACACACACACACACACAAACGAAGAAAAGACACAAACACACACACACACACACACACCACCACACAAAAACACACCACACACCAAAAAAAAACAGACACAAACAACACACACACACACACACAGGGTGATAAAGATGCTGCACTTGCCTTACAAAACGCTGATATGCGACCATAAAAGGGCAGGCTGCTCTAGGGAATCCCATAAATAGGAAATTAAAAAGGAATGCAGCGAGAACAGACACACTTATTTATCTATTTTTTATGCTTTATTTATCTACTTACACACACACTAACAAAAATGAAACACAGCTGCTCACAGGAACGGCTGCTGCAGAAATACAAAGCAACAGCACCTGTCTAGCGACCAACCAACACACACATCCAAAATAGATACCACTTAACACAAGCTGCTGCTGCACTGAACGAAACAAACAAAAGTGTGAGTGATGTGATATGTAGTGTGTGTGTGTGTGTGAGTAAGTTAAACCAGCGCGAACAAAAGTGCAGGGCATAACACAGTTGTTGCTCGCTGCCTGCCCGCCAAAGACGAGTCACGCACAGGCAGCTTCACACACAGCACACACCACACACACACACACACACCACAGCACAACACACACAGCACACACACACACCCCGCAGCGAACACAGACACACACAACAGCACACACACACACACACACCAGCACACACACACAGCACACAGCACACACACACACAGCACCGCACACACAGCACACCCACACACACACACAGCACAGCCTCAAGTCAGTAAACCCTGTTCTGAAGGCCATCTGAAAGAACTTGCGAGGTTTATTCAAAGAACTCAGGGGATCTCTGGGTAATACTGCCGGCTCGCAGCACGCATTCGAGACCCGCTGAAGCGCGGCATCAGGGCAATGCTCAAGGGCGTCACCACAGA